GATCAGTCGGGGCTGTGTGAGTGGTCGTAGTGCAGCGCAACACATCACATCACACTCAGTGCTGATTGTTGACTGCCTGGAGCCAGGTAGATGCTGGTCTGCGAACTGACCGTCATCTGGCAAGCTACCCGCTGATACCCGTCACGTGGGGCCCACTCCTGACGCCGCACCCCCGTCTCAGGCCTCGCAGTTATGCATGCGCCCATGCCCAGAACGGTTAGTGAGCTTCGAACGACGGCGCCTTAAGATAGCGAAGCTCTAACCAGCGTAATTACCGTCGTGCTTCATCGACGACCACCCTTCCTGCCAGCCCACAACAACACCCGCCGCCTCGACGAAGCTACCCAACGGAGCAACGGCACCCGACTTGGCTTTGGCGAGTTTTGTAGCCTGGAGGAGAATACACGCCCACGAGATTATACTTCCGAAACGAAACCCCCGTCGTTGCCTGAAGCAGCCCTCGCGAAGCAGCCCTCCACTCCGTTCCTATCACGTCATCGAAGCACCTGGTAGCCCATCATGTCTTCCAGGAAGAAGGTTCTTCTCAAGGTGCGGAGGGAAATCAATCAGTTGCATGTGTAATAGTGTTTGGTGGGGGCAGTTGAACTGATGGTTTGGTGTTATCTAGGTTATCATTCTCGGCGACAGCGGTGTTGGCAAGACGAGTTTGATGAACCAATATGTGCGTACGCCCAGTTAGCCAGTTCTCGAAGGCTCCCGTTGACATTTCTGGATGTTATTAGGTCAACAAGAAGTTCAGCGCTAGCTACAAGGCTACTATCGGTGCCGACTTCCTGACACGCGAGGTCATGGTCGATGACCGCCAGGTTACCATGCAGGTACAAGAACACCGACCCTCGATTTTTTTGGCAGTTCAAGAGACAGGAGCTGACGTAGGGGCGATTGCTAGCTTTGGGATACTGCTGGTCAGGAACGCTTCCAGTCGCTAGGTGTGGCTTTCTACCGTGGTGCCGATTGTTGCGTGTTGGTCTACGATGTCAACAACGCCAAGAGTTTCGAGGCCCTCGACAGCTGGCGGGACGAGTTCCTGATCCAGGCCTCGCCTCGTGACCCACCAAACTTCCCTTTCGTACGTGGGATTCTTGCTTTATAGCATTCTTCCGATCGACTAACCAGTCCCTTAGGTCGTTCTGGGCAACAAGATTGATGTGGAGGAGAGCAAGCGAGTTGTGAGTCATTTCCTCTCTTCATCCTGCATTGGGGAAGCAAGCTGACCTGTTCCAGATCTCAAATAAGAGAGCCATGACATTCTGCCAGTCGAAAGGTGACATCCCTTACTTTGAGACCAGTGCCAAGGAGGCCATCAACATCGACCAGGCATTTGAAGGTACGGAATCACCATATCTATCTACGACCGAAGTTGTGTTTTGACATTGGACCCTTAGTGATTGCACGAAATGCCCTGGCACAGGAGGAGTCCGAGGAGTTTAGCGGAGATTTCGACGACCCTATCAACATTCGTATCGACAACCCCAACGAAGGCTGCGCTTGTTAAATAGAAAGTTGGACGGGTTATGAGTGCTTCTGTAATTACCAACAGGGCTAGCATCGCTTTCCTGGGCGCGATTAGTTCTCGCAGGGCGTTTTGTATCTGAACCTTTTTTCTTTTTTTATCCATCATCGGCCTCAGGGGCTTGTTGGAGTGGGCTGTGTTTGTGGGTTTGTTTGCGCTTTTCTTATCCTCAACAGATTATCTTGGTTTTTTGTTTCTTACTGGTGAGGAAGACTCTATTTGGTCTGCCATGGAGAGTTGAACTAGAACGAATAGGAGGACGAGAAGAATACAGGACAAGGGATTGAGAGATTGGTTGTCGTCTATCGTTGAAGGGCTTTGCACAGTAGATCTAGCATTTTTTCCATACAGGACAGTACAGTTTTCATACCACACCGTTGGGGATAGAAATGCTGCTTCTTTGACACGGTCTCATGCATGTGTTGGCGCGGTTGATTCGAAGACGTATGACAAATGGGGATATATAGTCCTGGTTTGGTAGGCAAATAAGCGCGCGCCTCGGCCACCGCCGTGGGATTCTTTCCTCCATGTTGCAGAGAGGGTCCAAATATGCAACATACGATTCTTACGAAAGTTCGGTTCGGAGAGCAGCTGATAACTGATGTTTTGACCAGTATTTTAATTTAGGATTAACCGTATGTTGTGTGAATCGGTTAGCAGTCACTACAGTGATAGAAAGCATTGAGGTTTGGTATTGGCAAGATACTACCCATTGTCTTGGTAGCATTAAGCCAAGCTCTCAATAACAGAAATAAGCATCTTAAATACCATCTTGGCTGCATCGGCGAGACGAAGCGGGGGCTACGCAGCTCGCTCTGATGCCCGAAAGGCGCCGAGGTTCCTCCCACGCCGGAGTCCACAGTCGAGGCTCAAACCGCACCATTTACCCCAGACTCCCCCGGCAAAGCACCAACCCCACCTGAAGCCTAGAGCCAAAGGCGCAGCTCGCAGCAGCTTGTCGCCCATCCAGACCTCGGCTCCATGATCCATCGCATCCCTTACTTAGATGACTGGGGGTGCAGCAGAGGTCAGCGGGCAATGAGCGATCCCTCCATCTAATTGAAACTTTTTTATCTATTGCCGATCTAGCTTCTCTTTTATTTTATTTTCATATTCCCAACTCTCTCAAGCAGCGACACGGAGTACACTCACATCATGTCGGCCCAAATCCCTGCCATTGTAAGCTCATTTTGCTCAATCGTCCACGTAGGAGCTTGGATGGCTGCGTTCGATGATACTAATTGATGATCAGGTCTCGGATCGCGTCAGCGACGCTGCGAAGAAGACAATCGACATCGTCGCCAAGTTCGTCCAGGAGGAATGCATCCCGTAAGCACCGCCCTCTACCTGATGTGACCTAACTATGTGAACGTCAATTGCTAAATCAGCATCCCCCATCTTAAGAGCCGATGCCGTCCTTGAAGCTCAGATTGGCGTTGGCGACGCCCGCTGGGAGAGCCACCCCCCCATCATCGAGGACCTCAAGATCAAGGCCCGCGAGCTCGGCCTCTGGAACATGTTCCTCCCCAAGGGCCACTACACCGAGTCGCCCGGCTGGACCAACCTCGAGTATGGCCTGATGGCCGAGTGGCTCGGCCGCTCCCGATCTGCCTCCGAGGCGTGCAACTGCGCCGCCCCGGACACCGGCAACATGGAGGTCCTGGCCAAGTACGGCAACGCTGCGCAGAAGGCCGAGTGGCTCAAGCCGCTCATGGAGGGCAAGATCCGCTCGGCGTTCCTGATGACGGAGCCCGACGTCGCCAGCTCCGATGCCACCAACATCGAGCTCGACATCAAGCGACAGGGCAACGAGTACGTCCTGAACGGATCCAAGTGGTGGTCCAGCGGTGCCGGTGACCCCAGGTGCGAGATCTACATCGTCATGGGCAAGACGGATGCCGCCAACAAGGACGTCTACAGGCAGCAGTCTGTCGTCTTGGTACCAGCTGGTACCCCCGGTATCAAGATCCAGAGAATGCTCAAGGTCTACGGCTACGATGATGCTCCCCACGGGCATGGCCACATCACATTCACCAACGTCAGAGTTCCCGTTAGCAACATGGTTCTGGGTGAGGGCCGTGGCTTCGAGATTATCCAGGGACGTCTGGGACCTGGCCGCATCCACCACGCTATGCGTAGCATCGGCGCTGTAAGTTGCTAAACTTTTCCCACTCCGAATCCTAGTTGTGTGCATATCCTCTAACAAATCAATTGTGCTAGGCCGAGCGTGCTTTGGACTGGATGCTGATGCGCATCAACGACGAGCGCAAGACCCCCTTCGGAAAGCAGCTGCGCGAGCACGGCGTGATCCTCGAATGGATCGCCAAGTCCCGCATCGAGATCGACGCGGCCCGCCTGATTGTCCTCAACGCCGCCATCAAGATGGACGAGCTCGGCCCCAAGAAGGCGCTCAAGGAGATCGCAGAGGCCAAGGTGTTGACACCCCAGACCGCACTGAACGTCATCGACCGCGCGGTGCAAGCATTCGGCGGCGCCGGAGTGTCGCAGGATACGCCGTTGGCCAACATGTGGACTGGCATCCGCACGCTGAGGCTCGCAGACGGCCCGGACGAGGTGCACCTGCAGCAGATGGGCAAGAACGAGAACAAGAGGGGCAAGGAGGCTACGGAGACGATTCTGCGCCAGAAGGCCAAGTCGGAAGAGCTGTTCAAGAAGTACGGGGTGACCGCGGCGCAGCCCGGGTCCAACATCAAGCACTCCAAGCTCTAGACTGTCCGAGCACAATTCGGCGAAAGGCATAAAGGGGCGAAGGGCTAGTGACTATAGCTGTATCATAGCATTTGACATATATGAATTGGATAGCATTGGTGACCAGGGCAACTCCCAGCCATTGAGTGCCTGCGACCTCGAGATGCGGCCAATGCCATTGCCGTGCCAATATGACTCCTTCTCCCCATGGATCGCCCAGCCGTGTGCCCCAACCCCTGCGGTGACTCAATTCACGGCCTGGGGCCTGTGTCATGCTAAAATGATGTGCCGATAGCAACAGGCCCGTTCGGGAAACCACAATGCAGATTCGGTGTCACAATTCTGACAGGTGAATCTGGACCCGTCGTGCCCGTCTGATGCAGACATGGGCCCCAACTTTATTAGTGGTGCCAACACACCAAAAGGGCTCCACTCGATCCTTCACTGTTCATCTAAGCACGGCCGTTGCCCCCCCAACCGCTGGTATCCGTTTACTTTTTTTTTCTGGTGGTCGCTGGCTGCCCAGACAAAGCTTTGGGGACGTCATGGAATGAAATAAAAAGCTGGTCCCTTATCGCCATCCGCCCATTAAAGTGGTTGCTGCCAGCCCAGATCGAGAACGAACCTCTTGCTTCCACACAACATCTCTGCTACACCTGCGCATATCTACACTCTCCACCATCAGGTTCACGCACAACTTCACTCGAGAAGCCTTTGTTGCTAGCATTGCATTTGCAAGGTTCATCATATTCACGCCATGTCTTCCAACGTTCTCGGCAACAAGGACATCAACGCTCCCATCATGTCGGAGCAGGACCAGGTCCTCCGCACCAAGGACATCAAGAGCATGGAATACCATCGCGAGGTCCTCAAGTCCAAGATGGAAGAACGGTATGTTTCTTTTTATTCCCATTGCTCTCTCTTTCATTCACTGTGCACTTCAAGCTGACCAGTTCCACTCCCTGCAGATCCTCCAAGCAATATGTATCCCCATCCGACAACATCATGAGCCCATGCAGCGCCAAGCTCAACGCTTTGCGCAACAAGCACGCCAGCAAGTTCGTCTCACCCTCCCCAACTTGTGTTTATATGAAAGCTAACCTCCCCTCGTTCTCCAGGGCCAAGCCCAAGTCCCTCTTCGCCCAAGCCAGCGCTAAGAAGCTGCAAGGCGAGAGTGCCCTCGGCGCCACTCCTGCACGACCTTGAAGAGGTCCTGCCGGAAGATAATTGCAGTCATGGCGAGCGGGCATCTGCTATGAATGAGTTTCTGCCATCATCTTGAAAAATAAACAACAAGATGGTCATTTGTTCGCTCCTTCTATCGAAGATTGGTTTTCAATATGGAGCTTTGGGTTCATGTTTACAGGCGTCGGCGCATTGCAATTTCCTGTGTACAACATGATTTGTAATGACTTGATGCAACAACGGAAGGGTCGCGGCCTCTTAGGGAAAAGGGAAGACAATTATTGCTTGGCTTCGGCTTCGGACATGCTTTTTTTGCGAGGGGAAATTCACGTTCACAATACCAAGATATTTCATTTCTTTTGTTTTCTTAATAAAAAATCCCAGATTTTACTTCCGCTTACGCTCGCCATGCACTGACGATGTGAATAACGTCCTCGTCCGCGACCATGTGGCTCAACCCGACTCTCTGGGGAATGTGCCTCGCGCTCGCCCCCCAGACCAGCGCGTACTTGAACGTGTCCTTGAGCGTCCGGTGGATCGAGTCGCACACGTCCTCGATGGAGCTGTTGCTCCGCACGATGAGCGCCTCGTCAAAGTTGGGCTCCACGCCTTTCCGCTTGGTGTAGATGCGGATGAGGCGCAGCTCCTGCCAGCACCGGTCGATGACGTCCTGGATCCCGAGGTCGAGCTCGCAGCTCATGACCACGGTGTGCGGCTCGCGCGCCAGCTTGTCCAGGAAGTCGAGCGACACGCTGTCGATCTTGTTGTACACGTACAGGCACTTGATGTACTTGCGGTGGTCCTTCATGATGACGTCGATGAAGTCGTCGACGGTCGCGTTCTCGTCGCGGACGAGGACCTCGCAGTTGAGGATCTTGTAGTCGCGGAGGATGTTGTAGAGCATCTTCTCGTCGAGATTCTTGGGCGGGGTCTGGAATGTGATTTTCATGCCGCCCGCCTTCTTCGCTTTTAGGTAGATATTGCTAACAGCAGTTGTTTTGTTTAATAAGAGAGGGCGGCAGGCGAAAAAGAGAGGTGAGGAATGGTGGCAACTTACGGTGGTTCTCGGTTCAGCCTGATGCCGACGGCTTCCAACTCCGCCTCTAGAAGCGCCCTCTGCTCCGCTCTCTTTGTGGCGTCAAGAACCATGAGAATCAAGTCGCTCGTCTTTGCCGCCGAGATGACCTGGCGACCTCGTCCCTTGCCCTCGGAGGCACCCTCGATGATTCCTGGCAGATCGAGAAGCTGGATTTCAGCGCCGCCATACTCGAGCACACCGGGGATGGCTGTGAGAGTGGTGAAGGAATACGAGGCGACCTCGGACTTCGTTTTGGTGACCTTTGATAGGAAGGTCGACTTGCCCACAGAGGGGAAGCCCACAAGGGATATTCTGGCATCACCGCTTTTACTAACGTCGAAACCCGAGCCGCCGCCGCCGCCGGCACCGGGGCCTGGCTCCAAGAGCTGAGCTCGTAAGCGTGCGAGTTTTCTTTGTCCGTATTAGCATCTGGACGACTGTCTTATGAGTGGGTGGAGTTTTGGCCAGATGCCGAGACATGAAGGGTCCCAGTTTCGGTTCTGGAGTTCGAACCTGGAACTCCATTCCTCAGGAAATTTCACATACCCTTTTAGCAGACCAAGATGGTATTCTAGATAGTAACAACATCAGTAAGCCGGTCTAGCAATGGGAGTGGGCTATTCTCGCTTACCAGTGGCCTTGTTCTCTATATTTCAGGTATGTTGTTAGTTATTATGTCTTACCAGGGTCAAAATACATGCGATAATCAGTTCTCGCAAGAATAAGACCGCAAATCTGAGACTGTCCCGACTTCTTTGTCCTTCCTCCAATTATACAGCAATCATACTGGCACATAGACAGTCTTCTTGTTGTATAATGATGGAACCGAGACTTCTTGAAGAACGAATAAAAAAATCCCGGGAAAATAGTCATTGCTTACTTTGAGTCTTCCTCATCTCATCCTCAATCCTACATCCATAGTTAGAAGGCAATTCAGTCAATGCGATCATCTGACTTACTCCTTGATCTTTTCTGTAATATTGACCATTTTGAGGTCAGATTTTTATAGACGGTATCCCGTCTTTTTTCTAACAATTGCAAAGAAATCGTACAACTCCAGCCACGAATAGCGATCTTGCTGATGAGCGCAGGATGGCCTGCTCGTCCTCATCACCAATGTGGGGGACTCGTAGATTTCAGGTGGTGGGGCTTATCTTGGGGACTAGGTCACATGACCTTATTTTCCAATTCAACTCAGCAGTCCTTCTCAGCAGCCCTTCTCAGCAGCTTCCTCCGGCAGCAGTTGCATTTTCTACTGAGCTACATAGTAGGTAGCTGTCGCGATTGAATAGCCCGACCGCGTCAGCTTCATCCAGCTACAGGAGCTGCCTATACAGGAAATTTCTGACATATAGGCATTCATCCTTGTTTTAGATAGAGTTTAATATGCTAAAGCTGTTCTCCTTCATCCTTAACTATAGTATTGGCTCTACCTTAGAGTTGATGAACACTGGACAACAATGCCCATCAAGGCCGCTATCCTGACTACCCACTCATTGTCGCTGCTCGTGCAGCGTCAGGGCCATGCTCGGGCATTTGGGCTTTTAGTCACTCATAGAGGAATCCGTCGCGCATGGTCATGATGCTGTCAGAGATGGTCACATGTTTGCTTCTTCTTCAGACCAGGGCTGCTCCTTCGTGTCTCATCTACGGTCATCACTGGTATGATTTCCTATGTCTCTACTAACTCCATCATGTAGATACTTCCTTTTAGAATGTTCACTCTACGTTCCTATGTCTCCATTGCATAGAAACGTGACTAGGGTTCCTATCAAGAATGCTTCCAATAAGCTCATCCTTCCAATCCACAGCCATCCTCAACATCTCATCCTTCCAGTCGGCAGCCATTTTCTTCAGATCCTCCCTCCATTCATCTGCCTTCTGCTCTAGCATATCAACCATCTCTTTCCCACTTTCCTCAAGTTGAGTTTCCTTCAGGGACAATCTCCTATTGAGATCCTCAACTTCCCTTTTGAGGTCATGAATTTGATTTGCTGTTGTTGATCCAATCTCCTCCTGCTTGGTATTTAATATTGTGAGTTGAGATAGAATCTTAGTGACCTGGTTATCACAAGTAGGCCCTGAAGGAACAGACTCTCTTTCCCTAGATTGGGAGTCATTTGAGGAGTTTTCATCCTCTTGCCAAGCGCTTTGGTCGGGAATATTGTCGATGATATTGTCGGGGGGATTGTCGGGGGGATTGTCGGGGGGATTGTCGAGGATATCGTCAGGGATATTGTCGAGGATATTGTCGAAACGACAGCGTTCAGGCCGAGGGGTATTCAGCTCAGTGTCGTCTGAGTTGTCGCTCGCCTCTAGTTGAGCAATTTGGTCATTGTCAAATCGATTATTTAGCTCAGTATCATTTAAGTTGCTGCTCGCCTCTAGTTGGCCGATTTGGCTAAAGTCATTGTTGAATCGCCGGCGTTTAGGCCGAGGGGTATTCAACTCAGTGTCATTCGAGTTATTGCTCGCCCCTAGTTGGTCGATTTGGTCAGGGTTATTCTCAAATCGACTATTCAACTCGGTGTCATCTGAGTTGTCGCTCGCCTTTAGTTTGGCGATTTGGTCGCGGGAGTTATGTGGACTTGGGGAGTGGGAATTGTTGATAACCACTTCCACCTCTTTTCCTCCAGTGGGCGACATCTTCCTCAATTTTATAGTTAGCGTTGGTGTCTTAGCTGAGAGATGGATAAAAAAAGGTGAGATGATGGAAGTAGTAGAACAGGAAAGAGAGGCAATTATACACAATGAGCACCTTGTGAAATGAACATAATGAGGCTAAGCTTACTATCAAACCCCATTCTCATAAGCTTGCCGGCTAAGTGAAAAGAACAAAAGAAAAAGCAATGGGCAGAGTGTTTGCCCGGTTACTACTGGCAGCACAACCAACTCTCTGGTTGTATATAAGCCAGTAGATTGAAGCCAGAATTGGCAAATAAAACTGTTTCCCTAAACATCGAGTTTCAAAAGCAAACTTTTTTTTCTTGGTCAATCATCTTCATGTTTCTTGTTTGGCTTGCTACGGGCTCACGCCGCAAACAAGGAAGAGAATAACGGCGGCTGGAAGCACAGCCCAAGGCAAAGTAAGGCGAGGCGAGAGAAGGGGAGCGAATTGGGGGAAAAGGTCGACAATACTGCAACTAGTTGTGTTCTAAAGCCTCGGTTTGCCCTTTTTCTTTACACCCTTTCGGGAGAGTTTAAGCAGACAAAGTCGAACGGGTTCCATAGTCTACAATGCGACATCACTAGTAGACTCTGCATCACCACACCTTATGCACATCAGTAGAATTGTTTTTAGGTAATCAGTGCACCTGCCTCACTAAATGTGTAATTACTTTATCCAAGGTGATGCTGGTGAGGGAGAATGGTGACATGGCGGCCGGCCGTGGTCTTTGTCTTTAGTTGGTAACCTGCTTTGGGGTGGATAGCTATCCGTCCTACAGCGAGGCATGTAGAGCAACCCGGTAAAAATTCGAGTTTTGGTAAGACTAAGTGATGTAACTTTCACTCCGGGAAGAACAATAGGAAGTACTGTAAGAGAATCACTTGCATGGTGTATGAGAAAGTGAGTCGGGCACTAGGAGTGACAGTTTCCAAAGTCTTGTGATATAGATGCAGACTTTGTGCAAGAAGCCAATTCCATCCAACCGTACTTGCAAAAGCCCACATATGGTGAAGTGCTTTTCGCAAGTTCCCATGAAGATGCTGTAACATGCCTGCCCAAGATTGAAGCAGGCAGCCTTGGTGGTACAAATAAATGAGCCACCACTTCACTTAACTCTGCTTCCTTCATATTTTTCTTCACTTAACTCTTCTTCCCGCAGCCTTTTCTTCCTTCAGCACAGATCATCAAATCACAGCCATCTTCTTCATCTCCATCATCACACATCTTCATCGTTGTCAATAACTGCCTCTTCAGTCATCTTATCTGGCCACAACCTCTATTGCCTTCTTTGGCTGGGATTCCCATTTGCCTGGTGCAGCACTACCGCTCATCTCCTGCATCTAGCGACATCCCGGTGCAAAGTTCCATGTCCCACTCATCCTGTACGTATTATGAAAGGCATGGATTAGAGACAAAGGAAATTATATCAGTGCCCAAAGGCCCGGTTGACACCAGGCTGCCAATCGATACTGATATCTGGGCTAGTTCACTCTCCTCTGCACCTGCTATTCACATCTCCTAACAACATTAGCTAATGACCTAGTTTCCTCCGCGATTTTTCTCTTGCTGACTTCATCTTTCTTCTCTCATATTAGTTTTGCTGCTTTTCTCTTCTATACTACCTTATTGACTTCTCGACTCGTCTGGCTGTGAATGCTAGTATCTTGATTAGCAATGGCTGGGGATTCGAAGGACAATACCCGCCGCGATGACAATAATGACAATGTCCGCCACGATGACAATGACGACAACGTCCGCCGCGATGACAATGATGACAATGAGAACATCCAAATCACACTCAAGAATGAACGGACTTTGCTGTACTGGTGGAATGATCACACAGATGCTGGCGCTGAATACAGCCTTCTACCTAGTAATTGGTCCGCGACAGCATCCGTGAGTATCTCTCAGCGAGGGACCCCTATAATTTACTTTCGCATCAAGGTGAAAAAAGAGACATTTCTCTTTATGATACCTCTAGGAAACGTGGATTCGATATCAACTGCTTTTAGAGTGGACATACAGGGCATTCCCGGGCACTACCATCGGACCAACAAATGGTGTACCGTCGGCATTCATCTCATGAAGCGTGGTGTATTAGCCAAGAAGTCGGTTCCTGGGACTATGAATCTTGCAGTGGCACCACAGGAGCTGAAGGAGTTGGCTTCGGCCACGAGCGTTTCCGCTCTTCTGCCAATAAGACACAAACCGAAATTCGATTTCCTTCCTCTTTTGTTGATGCGCCTCGATGGGAACACTGACGACATGGGGGATCTGCTCCGATCCCATGGTCCACTGCAGATCATCAGAGTCAATGAAGTTGATACAAACAACAAAGCTCCAATACCCATCTACCTAACCCAGGAAGAAAGTAAGCGCGATTTCTCCTTTCTCTTCTTCGCTCTATTCCTTTAACCATAAGATCTTAGAGCAAACGCAACGTCAAGAAAAGAAAATCTTTCAGCGTCAGAGAGTTCTAGCGCTTCCGGTCAAGACTGAAAGCCTCGTAAAAGAGCGACAAGAGCGAGCAGACCAGCAGGCTAAGGCTAGGCTTGATAAGCCGTGTCAAAGCTGGACACAGGCTAACGAATATCTCCTTTCTCGCATCGAAACACTCGAACATACGGTTCACTGGATGGAAAGCGATGTTGATGATGCAGTCAAGAAAGTTGATGTTCAACTTTATGACTTCCGACAAGAGATGAACATATCCAAGGAGAAGTCTAGCGAGGAATTCCAACAGTTGATCGATGGCGTTCGTAAAGATCTCCAGGGACAGCTTATGGAGGAGATGCGTGAAAAGAGTGATAAGACTATGAACACCATATATGATGGTGATAACTACAGATTAGATATATTTTTTGACGAGACCAGGCTTCAATCAACTAAGGAAGTGTAACTAAATTGAGGAAGAGCAACTCAAAGCTTCCCCTACTTTATGTAAGGAAAGGAGAATAGCAGCTTCATTAGATTGATCAGCAACGTTTGTTGACGACATCTACTATGCTAAGTGAGTGACATAAAACATGGCACACCAAAGCTCTGTTCACACAAGTCAGGGACCTCAACTTTCTTGTCCAGGATGGCAAACAGCGTAATAAGAAAATAATTAGATAATTGTTCTATATTGTTTAGCTATTACTATGTTTATTACTGGTAAGTTGTTCTCATTTTATATTAATATTACATTGAAATTCAACGCTGGAGGTTCTGGGTGTGTTTTATGTCAGTCGCCTGTATGCCACCTTGATAGTGGGGCAAATTCAACCGAATTCGCCCCACCGCTTACCTTATTCGACTTCTCAGAATATTCCCCATAGTTGCCTGGGCGATAAGATAACGATCCTAGGTTTCTTGATGCTGGCGCGATCAGCCGCGAAACTTCATCAGAGACCACTATTTGAAATCATACCACGCAACAATGGCCGACGAGACGGCGCAGATCGAGACGGCTCCAGCTGCTGAGCAGATTGATAATGAGGCCGGTGCACTTGTCGCGACCAACACCGAGGTCGCGCCGCCGACGGGGAAGAAAGTCGTGAAGAAGATTATTCGGAAGAAGAGACGACCTGCGCGCGTACAAGTCGACCCAGATACCATCAGTTCGGAGCCGCCGCCGCAGACGGGAACCATCTACAACATCTACTACAATAAATGGGCCGGGGGCGACAAGGACCAGCTCGTGCAGACCAAGTCGAAGGGCCGCTGCAATGTCGCAAAGGACAGCGGATACACTGAGGCAGACGGGACGTCTGGGAGCTACTTCTGCCTCATGTTCGCCAGAGGACTGTGTAGCAGAGGGCCTTCTTGCTCGAAATTGCACAGGATTCCCGGGGTTTTCGACATCGTCCCTCCGAATGTGGACTGCTTTGGCAGGTACGTTTGATCCTGGTTGTCCTTCGACTGACGGACCTTTTGTTGCTTGATGTCCATTGGCTAACATTGCCCTACAGAGATAAATTTGCAGGCTACCGAGATGATATGGGAGGCGTAGGATCATTTATGCGACAGAACCGAACAATATACATTGGGCGAATACACGTTACGGATGATATAGAGGAGGTTGTCGCCCGCCACTTTGCAGAATGGGGACAAATAGAGCGAAGTAGGTTGATGTCGAGCTTTTGTTACTGAATTATGCTAACCGATGTGCTTAGCTCGTGTTTTAAACAGCCGTGGCGTGGCATTCGTCACATACACCAACGAAGCGAACGCCGAATTCGCAAAAGAGGCGATGGCACACCAGTCGCTGGACCACGATGAGATTCTCAATGTGAGATGGGCGACCGCTGACCCGAACCCCATGGCCCAGGCACGAGAAGCCAGGAGAATCGAGGAGCAGGCCGCCGAGGCAGTTCGACGTGCTCTCCCCGCAGAGTTTATTGCCGAAATTGAAGGGAAGGATCCAGAAGCGAGAAAACGGAGGAAGATTGAGAGTAGCTACGGGCTTGAGGGCTATGAGGCGCCCGATGAGGTCCACTTTGCTCGGGGAGCGCAAGCAGTGAACCCGCATGGACGAGAAGAACTCGAGTTGGAATACCAGGAGCCGCTTGCGATTGAGGATGGTCCAGTGCCAGAGGCGGATGAGCAAATGCTTGAAGCTCCTGTGCCAGCCCCTAGAGAATCAGGCGGAATCCTCTCCGGCAACACTATTGCGGCGTTGAACAAGGCGAAGATTTCGATTGCAGCAAAGCCAAAAGCTGCTTCGTCAGGGCCGCTCGTGGCCTACGACAGCGACAGCGATGATGAATAGTGGGATTGTTTTTTTTTAATAGTAGCATCATATCCCCGGGAGTTTTTGTTAATAGACAATCTGGTATTCACGATAATACTACATAAAATTTTCGATAATACTACACAAAGTTTTTGTTCTGAAAGCCTGTGTCTAGCTATTGAATATTCTCGAATAAAGGAGCTCATGTCGACCGATCCATAAATCCATCACGGGCACGCTCTGCCCAGCTTCCTCAACAGGCGTGTTCCATTCCCTGTCAATCATCAACTCAATCATATTCTGTACACGATCCCCTGCCAGCACTTTCTGGGCCTGGAACGGCCCAAACACGCTGGCTCTGACCGCTGCGGAGATGAGCGCCTTGACGTGACTCAACATGAAGACGTAGGCCGCCTGGCGGAGGCTCAGCCCAACGATGGCGCAGATGGCACCGAAGAGCGGCGCCAGGTGCGCAGACACCGCCGGAACTTCTCCCTTGCTCTCCCTCAATAGCGTCGAAAATTCCCTCAGTAGCTGTACCTCTTGCACCTCGGACACCGCGGATCGGAACGATCTCTCCCAGACGCTGAGCAGAGCACGGCCCTGGGCGATGCTCGCCCGACGGCCCACGGTGCAGATGACCGCCGCGTCGAGCTGGTCGTCCAAGTCGAAGAGGGAGTTTGGATCGCGATGGGCAGCGAGGACGAAGGGCAGGGTTGTGGAGGCGAAGGACGAGACGGACGAGGGCAGGAAATCTGAGAAGGTGGATGAGCGGGGGTTGTGAGCCAGGTAGGACTCCAGGCCGCTGCTGAAGGCAAATGCGCCGAGGGGTAATGCCGAATCCGACAAGAGAAGAAGAAAGTGAGTCGATGAGGATGGCGATGCTGGGGCGTGAGTTTAGTTAGTCGGGTTATGTTCGTCGTTGATGAGGCTCTGGTACTCACGCTTTAAAATGGTAGCTGTTGGATGTCCATCCTTGGTGCTCAATTGTGATAGCTTCAGTCTGGCACGGGCATCTTCAAGCTGGGCCTCTAGCTGCTCGATTTCATTAGTGATTGACGCTGCGTCACTGGTTTCTGCTTTCAGAGCCATATCTCGCTCAAATGTTGGAGGGTTAAAGATTGAAGCATGCCCACCTTGATAAGGCTACGTGCAATGTGAGACCTATCATCACCATAACTCTAAAATCACAACTTAAAGAAATACGGAGATTTACAGCAGGACATGAAAATGAACAAGCCAAGTTACTTGCTTGTGATTGATGATGAGATACTATTCAATGCAATCCTTAACGCCCACGCTTGACCAAAATCACAAATAATCAGAGTATGCCTTTTATGCCGGCTGTACATTCTCCTTGTCAAATTCATTCTGCTTCTGCATTTTCTTCATCGCGATTCGCTTCTCGATCCGCGCTAGAGCAGCAGCCCGTCGCTCTGGTGGGAGCTTGCTGTTGGAACTATCGCGAGTTGCACTCTGTCGCTTCTCTAGTTTGTTACTGTGTACTTCCGGTGCACCAAGCTTAGCAAAGCGATCGTGCAACAGATCAATGCCTGCGTCCGTCTTTAATCTAGATGGCGGCCTGTCAGATCGTGAAATCAGCTCAGCAAGAGCAGGAAGATCCGGGGCCTTGATATCCTTCGGCTTTGTCGTAACCGTGACACCGCCATTCTCGATACGATCAGCTAACTCATCGCCGAGGTAGGCTCTGTTTCGCGGGGACCTGGGTACGAACGGCTGCCACCTAGGCTTGTCCAGTTTTGGTCGATTATTGAGCGCACCAGACATGGCGATGGGTATGGGATCCTCGACGGCTGCGCGCGGCTTGAATTCATCATTCACTGGCTTTTCTCGAGCAATTCGATACCTGGTAGAAGTAAATCCTTTACCAGGAGAGCCTTCGGGCGTTCTTGAAACAACTTCATCTGGCACTTCTCGTGTCGCGACTCCAGATTGCCCAGGCCGTGCCTTCATTTCTGCCGTGTTTGAACGTTGGTTGGCCATATCCGCGCCAGTTGTAGGCTCTAGAGCATCCTGTTTACTGGCATTTTGCCTTGGAATTGGATCCACACCACCGCTTTTGAGGGTTTTGATCTCCTTTTTAAGATCCGATATCTTGGTGTGCGCTCTCTGAAGAACATCATTCCTGTCCTTTTCTTGAGCCTGACTTTCCTCTCTGTAAGCCTCGAATTCCTTCTTCAGCTGTTGTATTTCTTCGTCTTTTTTTCGTGATTCTTCTCGCTCTTGGCGGAGTTGTGCCCTTAATTCTTTGGCTCTTGGCAAACCATCTTCGCGGTGCGCCCCGCTCTCTGCCTGGTCAGCTCGCTCTTCCGCGGCCTTCAGTCTTTCTTTCAACAACGAGACCTTATCACGAAGATCATTGAGCTCTTTAGCTTGATTCCTAGCCTTGCGCAATTCTCGTTGTGTCTCCAGAAGGGTCCTTTGGGTACGCGGCGACGTTCCTACTCTCCTTCGTCGAATAGTAGGTTCCGCGGTATCCTGTCTTTCCTCGAGAAATTCCTCCAGCTGATTCTCCAAGTCTTGAACCTGTTCCTTGTATTCCTTGGCAAGAGCAGTCTGCTTTGCGAGGTTTGCCAGCACCTCGGGCGAAGCATTCTCCGACTTGTTCTCGAATCGTGAGATAATTTGTGAAGCATTCTGGGTAATTTTCTTTTCCATGTCAATCACTTTCTGCTGCTCATTTTTCAGTTTTTCCGCGAGGGTAATAGCCTCGGCGTCCTTCTGTCGAGCGTAGGATTTTGCCAGTTGCTTATACTTGAGCATCTTCTCCATCTCTGCCTTCGCGTCCTGTTGATATTTTTCAAATTCATGCTTCCAGTACTGTCCAGATTGAGAATGCGGTTCGTTCAGGTCAACCGTGATGTCGTGATTGCAGTAGTTCTCGGGTTCAACGTCGTCATCGTCCTCCTCCCAGTCGTCGTCAGAGGCAGGCACATCCCCGCCGGCTCCTGCCGCCTGTTCTCCTTTGGTGGTCTCGGAAGAAGTCGCTGATTTGGCGCTCTTTGGCACATTTATGTCCCTGATGGCGATTTGGCTTGATTCTTCAAGCAGCTTACTCCCCCCTCCAACATCGCGACCAAACGATACACGCTTGGGTCGGGACGTTCCAGTCCCGGGGGTCAGAAGAATCCCCTGGGGTTTGGAATTGGGTGTTCGCGATCCTTTGTCTGATATCGTGACGGACTTGGCTGGCCTCGCTCGTAGCTCTTCGCGGTTATTCGCGGGCGTTCCAAAGAGGGCATTTCTGAAAGCTCTCGCCGCAAACACTGGCGCAGGGGTATCGGGCTGATCGATTTGCGTGGTATCTAGACCATAGATATTCTCCTATTAGCTAATCTGTGAGTATGAATGGGAAGCAGGAGCTCGAGTTTACCTCCTTCGTCCAATCCATTGGGGGCGTTTTCGCCGCGCTTGAGCATCCAACCAAGCATTTTGAGAGATCTCCCGGATATATGGAAAGGAGATATCAAGACCAAGGCGAAATGGAAGAGAAGGCCCCTATGCACGAGTGCAACAGATTGTTGGGCAAGAAAGTCGCATGGGTGTGGTCACGCTCGTAGAGGTGATGCGCGTGTGCCAACATGCGATGAGGGTCGTGGAGGTTTGTTTACTTTAAAGTCCATAAAGGGCTGAGTGGATCAGCACCCGACTTAGCACCGCTGCATTGGGGCTAGCCGCAGCGCCGCTTTCAATCTCATCACTGTACAAACTCCCCAATCTTAAAAGCGGCGGCCGCAGGGGCTCAGTGCCATAGACCAGGACAATGAGCCAACCAGATGGAAGCCCCTGTGAGCCACTGTACCTCTGTAAGTTAAGGCAGCGCTACCCGACCCAACAGCGCGCTCCTCCAATACGCCACCCGGCCACAGCACACAGCTCAGCTGGACACCGCTCTTCACTGGTGTCTGGCGCCCAGAAGCGTGACGTCTGTTGCCCCGCTAGATTACCATTTTAGAGCCGTCCGTCGAGTCGCATCTTCATTTGTCCATCTGACATCCCATATTCACCGATTTATTATATTCAACAGTATTCAAGCTTCAAAATGAGTTCTAATTGAGTTGTCACGGCTCTGGCTGTGGCAATAACTCCTCTGGAACATCTGAGCAGCATGGCTTGGAACCAATCTAGAGCTCGGGGGACCCCTCAATTAGATAAAATCCCAGCACCGAAAGACTTGAGCTTTCCGGGCCTCCAGGCCACCAGCCCATCTGTCACGACGCCGCGGATCGAATATGAGGAACTCCAACAGAATGAAGTCCTTGCTCTTGAGGCCATTTACGGCGAAGATTTCAAGAACCATACCAAAGACCATCAGGGCGCCTGGAAGGTTCATATTAGCTGTCCCCGTTTCGTCCAAACGCTGATGACTCACATGTATCTGTAGAAATCTGAACCAACTTTCGACATCCACATTAAAGCATGGAGCGATGATGACTTTTCGGTGACTATTGGGTTTGTGATGACTGCTACATATCCAAAGTCACCCCCTATTTTGACTATTAAACATCATGACTTCCTCCGAGAGGTTACCCAGTTCAAGATCCAGAAGTTCATTGAGACTCAGCCCAAAATCTTTGCCAAAGATGAACAGGAAATGATTGACAAGATTGTGGAAGGAATCCGAGATATTCTGGAAGACGCAGCTCAGGCCAAGGCGAACGGTAAAAACCTGCCATCCCTTGAGGAGGAGCGGGAGCGTCATGAAAGCAACCTGGCAAAGCTAGCCAAGGAGCAGAAGGAGCAGGAGGAAAGAAAGAAGGAGCAGGAAAGCAAGGAGGAAGAAAGAGTGATGGCCGCCATGCTCCAGAATGAAATCGATCGCCAACGGCAGAGCGCAAAGGAATCCAAAACCGGCCGAGGCATCAACGGGGCCACCCCTTCCCAGCCCTCCGAGAATAAGGATGCGGATATCGAAAAACTCGATTTTGACCAGTTCTGTAGTACAACCGATAGGTCTGGGAACCCGATATCCTTCCGGTCGGTGACAGGGAAATGCGACCCTCTACAAGGACAAGTTTCCGTCGTCTATGTCGTCCGCCCTGTGCTTTCGAACGGGCAGGGGAGCTATACCATGGCGCTCAAAGAAGCGGTGCTGAGGGCCAGCAACAAAGAATCGAAGGATCTTAAGAAGCATATCCAAGGTCTAGAATCAAGGTTGCAAGATCTCAAGCACAGCAAGGCCCTCCAGCATCGACATCTCGTCCAGGTCCTCGATTTCAAGGTTGAGAATAGCTCGTCGCACTCCGCGACTTCCAGTAATTGGAAGGTGAGTATCCTCACACCGCTCGCTGACAAAGGGTCACTGGGTGAGTTTTTGGAGCTTGCCGGTCGTTTGGACATCGGAAAGGTTCGATCTTGGACCCGCGACCTTCTTGACGCCCTGAATTATCTCCACAACAAGAATATAGCCCACCAAGATATTCATCCGGGGAATATTCTCTTATTCCGGGAATCAACAGGTGAAGTGGTCCCGAAGATTTCCGACATTTCTTTCCAGCGCGAACTGCACAATCTGAGTGCTCAGAAACGCGGACTCCCAGGACTCGGTTCAGCTAAATCAGCCTACTGGCTTCCGCCGGAAATCGCAGGTGCCTCAAAACCTCAGTATACATACAAAACTGATATATGGGACTTTGGAATCGTGTTTATGCAGATGATATTTGGCTTAGATGTCCTACGGACATATTCTTCCCCCCGAAATTTGATAGAATCCCTGGCTCTCTCTCATTCTCTTCTTGAGCTTGTCAGTAGATTCTTCAAGGAGGACAAAAATAAGCGCCCTCGTGCGTTTGAGCTTGGATCTAGCGAGTTCCTTGCGACAGATGCTCCAGTTTTCGTTGAGGAAACTTCTGCTGTTGTATCCAGTGCGCCACTGCTGAGTTCATCAGTCCAGGGGATGCCAGCAAAGTTCAGGCGCGACTCTGTGACTAGAAGCACTGTTGCATCTCGGTACACTGAGGATTTTGTCGAAGAAGGTCGCCTGGGTAAGGGTGGTTTTGGCGAAGTTGTCAAGGCAAGAAAGAAATTGGATGGTCAAATCTATGCCATTAAGAAGATCAGTCAGCGCTCTCATGCTAGTCTGACCGAGATTCTTAAAGAAGTCCGGCTGCTGTCGCAACTTAGCCACCCAGCAGTTGTCAGATACTATAATACCTGGGTTGAAGAGGTCCCTGACACTGGAAGTGTCGAAGGCGACACATCGACCGAGGGGTACACAGATGAGACCCGGGAAACTGGGTCGGATGGTGTCGACATACAATTCCATACGGATACGGGGGGTCTAGACTTCATGTCTTCAAATGCTGGCATTGAGTTTGGTTACGACGATGATTCAGAAGAAGGCGACGACGACGAGACCGAAGACGAGGAGTCAAGCGATGAAGATGATGAAGCAATAGATGATGAGTCCGGGTCTTCGATGAAAATCAGACCAATTGGTATCAACAATCGACGAGATCGTTTTCACAGGCCTTTCAGAACGATAATGTACATTTCGATGGAATACTGCGAGAAGCGAGTAAGTTTGGCTTTCCTCCATGCTCCATAACAATGCTGATGAAGATAAGACCCTTCGTGATCTCATAAGCCGTGGCTTATACAAAAACACGCCTGAAATATGGCGCCTGTTTCGGCAAATTCTTGAGGGTCTTGCGCACATCCACAGCCTCAGTATTGTACACCGAGATTTAAAGCCAGAGAACATCTTCATCGGAAGTGGTGCCGATGGAGTAGACAATGTCAAGATTGGTGACTTCGGACTTGCGACAAGTGGACAGTTCTCAGTTGACAAGGCTGCGGCAAATACCTTTGATACGGATGATTTGACTAAAAGCATCGGCACCGCTTCTTACTCGGCTCCCGAAGTGAGGTCAGCCGCGAATGGCATGTATAGTACCAAAGTTGATGTGAGTCTACACTTCACTTGAGCGTTAGTATGATTTACACTAACCACCATGTCGTTTAGATGTACTCGCTGGGAATTATATTTTTCGAAATGTGCTACATACCCATGATGCATATGCAAAAGGCAGATGTTATCGGCCAACTCCGACGGCAGCAGCCAGTGCTTCCATCTGATTTCAAGCCAGCCGACAAGGTACAGTCGGAAATAGTGCTCTCTCTTGTCAGCCATAACCCCAAGGAGCGGCCCTCGAGCGCGGAACTTCTAAAGAGCGGCAAACTCCCTGTGCAGATGGAGAGCGAGACAATCAGACGCACTCTGGCTGGCCTGTCTGATCCAAACTCTCCTTACTACCAGAAAATGCTGTCGACCCTATTTTCCCGGCCGGTTGAAACGACACGAGATTATGCTTGGGACATGTTTGCAACTTCTCCCAATGCAACAGATTTGTTGCACCAGAGTACAGTGAAGCAGTCTTTGATCTCAATCTTTCGACGGCATGGTGCCTTGGAATCGGCCAGGACGTCGATTTATCCTAAATCCACACTCTATGGCGACAACGTATTCCGCGTCCTTGACTCAAACGGAACTGTTTTGCAGCTTCCGTACGACTTGACAATGGGGCACGCGCGAATGCTGGCAAAGTCGTCTCATAACCCCACAGTGCAGCGCACATTCACTTTCGGGAGTGTATTCCGAGACAAACAGGATACTGGCCACCCACAGATGTTTGGTGAAGTTGATTTTGACATCGTTACAATCGACGCACTGGACCTTGCGCTTAAAGAGGCAGAGATCTTGAAAGTTATTGACGAGATCATTGTCAATTTCCCATCGCTTTCATCCTTGCAAATGTGTTTCCACCTTGGACATTCAGATCTGTTGCAGCTGATTTTCGAACATTGTGGGATAGAGCCCGCATTACGAAGAGGAGCAGCTGATGTTTTGAGTAAACTGAACATCCATGGCCATACTTGGCAGAAGATTAGAATTGAACTGCGAAGTCCAGTTGTGGGTATATCAGCCACGAGCGTTGATGAGCTCCAAAAGTTTGATTTCCGAGGTACGTTGCGTAACTTCATCAGATTTAAATGAGACGGTCGCTAACAACGTGTAGACTCTCCAAACAAAGCCTTTTCTAAACTCAAGAATCTGTTTGAGGGAGGTGAGATGTATCAAAGAGCAGCAGCCACCATCGCACACATCAAAGAGGTTGTTGAATACTCGAAGCGATTTGGAGTAGGGACCAAGATCTACGTCAATCCGCTCAACAGCTTGAAGGAAGGATTTTATACAGGAGGGCTTCTCTTTTCATGTCTGTATGACAAGAAACTCAAAGATGTCTTCGCAGCAGGAGGTCGATACGACCACCTCATCAAAGAGCAACGCCCACGAATTGGTGGCCAGATTCATGAACGGCATGCTGTCGGATTCAGCTTGGCCTGGGAGCGTCTTGCCCGGATTCCTAAAAACGCAGGGAAGGCCTTCCTGAAAAAGGCAGAGGAGGAACAGAACGGCATCTTCACTACCAAACGTTGCGATGTGCTTGTTGCCAGTTTTGACCCGGCAATATTACGAGCCGCCGGGATAGACTTGCTGCAAACTCTCTGGGCGCACGAGATAAGTGCTGAACTTGCTAAGGACTCTCGGTCGCCCGAAGACTTGATGGGAAAGCACCGAGATGAGTCCTACTCCTGGATCATAGTCGTCAAGCCAGACGCTATGCTGAAAATCAAAACCATGGGTAGGAAGGATGTTCAAGACGCTGACATCCCAGCAAGCCAACTTCTAGCTTGGCTCAAGTCTGAGATGCGAGACAGAGATTACAAAGCACTGGCTAAATTGAGGGGTTCAATCGAATCCCCTCAGGTAGCTGGCGACTCCAAGCGAGAGCAGGACGTCCGAGTTCTTGTCGGCCAGACCAGGAGCAAGAAGTTCAACCGACGAACGGTGGTGGAGCAGGCCCAGGTCAAAGCAGCCAGTCTGATGGAATCATTCCTTGATGGGCCGATTCTCGCCGTCGAAACCTCGAGTGACCAGGTTATCGATCTCATCCGCGAGACGAAGCTCTCTGATCCCGACAGTTGGAAGAAGGTGGAACATGCGGTTACGACTTCAGAGAAGAAATATGTCCGGGAGATACATGATCAATTAGATACCTGGCGTTATGCATACGATAAGAAGGGGGGTTGCCAGCACTCCTTTGTTTATCACTTCAGGACCGGTACATGTTTGTATTACGACCTCGCAGCATGATCTGAGCGAAACAGTTGAGGGGTTGGATAGATAGCGGGATTCAAGCGGAGACACAATATACCAACTTCACATATCCATACATCGTTCGGAAATGAGTTTGCAGCCTTGACCAAGGACATACCAATCATGAGGGACACCTTTGGGCATAGTCACAGTACTGTGTGACAGCTAATATATGCGGTGAACAGATGTGCCTGTAGATCATTGGCTTGGGACCCTTATCGACTTGTCCCCACTGGCCGGTGTTCACTCAGTCAAGGGTCCGAGAAACGTAGCGGCAGAATGATCGAGGTAAATTGGAGCTAGTTTCACTAGTGCCTCAAGCGTACATATCTGCCTAATTGACAAAGCCAGCCGTGACCCAAGGTCGCTGATATGGCATATCAAACGTACCTAAGTAGCGTTTTTAAATTCAGAATCTTCTTGTATGGCATTTCTTGCTCGAGGCGAAGTGGATTTAACTTTGATTCTTACTGGGTTGTTGTGATTACTAACTTGGTCGAGGCTAAGTGTGGCGTCGTCGGGTCTCACTTTAAGTCACCGCCTGCTCAGCTGGGTCGATGGCCGGCAAGTCACAGGCATTGCAGGGGAGGTATCTCGCGGGCGGAGTTGGCGTGTGACGTGACCTGAGGGGCGGCTGACAGGACCCGAACTCGGTCATCAAGGTGCAGTGCGATCAGTCAACTAACCTGACTCAATCAGCCCAACCTTTCGTTTCCGTCCCTACCTTTTTTCGGGTGTGAAGTTCTCACGCATCTCGCCGTCTCCGGCTTCATTTTTTGCCCCTCGACGCCCCTACGCCTCCTTCCGCCCTCCTCTCTCTTCCTTTCCCTTTTCTTGGTACCTCCAGCACGGCATTGACCGACCCTGTTTCGTTTCACTCTTAAAACGCCCGACCGACCATCACCGCTCCCGCTACCAGACTTGACCGGCGACCCTTGGTCCACGTGCATACCGAACGAGTAGACTTTTGTCCTTCTCACAGTACTTTTTCGACCTCTCGTCCAGCGGCCTACTTAGTCCATATCCTACCATCATCATGGCACAGAAGCGACTGCTGCAGGAGCTTGTTCCACTTCAGAAGGAGAAATGGGTTCACATTGAGGTAGGAGATAGAAGTGCTTTGTTATTCTTCGGTTCTGGGTGCTAATTATTGTATCTTCTTGCAGGTTGACGACGCGAACTTGTTCAAATGGAAGCTGGGGCTTTGGGTGGTCAACCCCGAGAGTGTCTGGCACGGTGCATTTCTCAAAGTCCGCCTCGCCTTTCCTCCCCGCTGCCTCTTTGCAGTAGACTGACGAATGACCCTTAGGCCGAGATGCGTTTCCCAAGCGATTATCCGTACCAACCCCCGACCTTCCGCTTCACGACGAAGGACATTTTCCACCCTAATATCTACCCGGACGGAAACCTGTGTATCTCCATCCTGCACAAACCCGGAGACGATGCCCAATCTGGAGAGCTTGCTAGCGAGCGATGGAACGTCCTCCATGGCGTTGAGTCAGTTCTTCGCTCAGTTCTTCTCCTTATGGACGACCCAGAGATCAACTCCCCCGCAAACGTGGACGCTAGCGTCATGTACCGCGATCACCGCGATAATTACAATGCTCGGGCCAAGGTCACCGTGGCATCTACCCAGAAGGACATTCCTACGGGCTTGGAGATGCCCACGGAAAAGGAACTTACCGCGGCACCCGTCAACCCAGTCGACGATGACCCGGACTTTTGGAACATGACGGATGAAGAGGACGACTTTGGCGCTAGTGATAGCGATATGAACGATTTTGAGGACGACGATGATGAAGACGAAACCGATAAGTGAATTTTCGTCTGTCTGCGCCGCTCTATCCAAAATCGCTTGGGTCATCGGTCACCTCACTTTTTTGAGTTATTGCGGGTTTCTGGTTTTCATCCCTTCCCCCAATTTGTTTCCCAAAATATCACTGCAAGGGAGGCTATTTTCTCTACACATTTACTGCATAGCGCTGGTTGTGTCTATTATTCCTTTCCTTTCATGTTTGTCATTTTCCACTAGAGGGCGTTGAGAGCGTTGTTGGTCACCTACCAAAACGTAAAAGCGGCAGCGGGACCGCAGCGCCGATAGCGTTGGGTTCATTTTCTCATGGACCATTGGAGTATAGATATTTGAATTATGAGATGCGCGGTCGCTTTTTATGCTGCTTTTTTCACCACATTCCCCCAACCACCCCCCTCACTTTGCCCGGCTTCGTCCATATATCAAGAGTCTTCATATATAACCAATATTAGCAAGTTGATTTTCACTTTTCGTGTACCTTTTGAATTCTTCAATTTCCCCCCGCCACAAGCTTGTCTGAGAGCTTGGAGGTGAAATGCTTGCATAATCCCACATCAGTTTAGCATGGTGGCAAACGTGCTTTGATGTTTGGCTGCCTTCCGGGGCATTCACCCGCTGTCATGGGTCAGTAATCATAAGTAGAGCCTAGAGCGTCAGTTTTGGAGGCTGAACTCTAAACAACTCGAAAAAGAATTCAATTTTTGAATCTACATATCATTACATACCTTACTAAAAGGATTATTCCCTTGATGTAGGCTCAAAATGCTAACGTGAGAGACATGTCTGCAGTGGGAGGTGTGACGTTGACAAGTGGGCGGCTTATCTTATCAGTGGCTCGTCTCGGCTTGCAGTCCAAGAAGAGGAGCTTCAATTGTACGTAGGTAGCTTGTGGCTGACGACGAAACACAACTACGACACTTCATCTACAAACCTGCCAGCAGCAAACAGCATTTAGTCAGCATTGAACCCTTTCAAAATTCGACCAGATTATCTCCCGCATTCGAAATCGGCCGCGCTGCGTCACCTCCCGAGCAACCAAGCCCACTCGACAGCCGGTTAAGCCACAGAGAACCCCAGGACTCCTACCCCGTCGACGCTGCGCTCACTGAGGTCATCTCCACGGGTGATCCAGACCGCGCGTACAAACCGAGAAATTAGCTGCTTGCTTTTGCAACGTCGCCGAGTTTATCTTATATGTGTTGTTAAAAGGACCGGGGAGGTCACAGGATATCCGCGATGGCGGCTTTGGAACCTTCCGAGGATGCTATTTCCACAGTCATCGAGATAACGGAGCTGGATCCTGTGCAGGACCGGGATATGGTCAGGCAGGCTTTAAAGGTGCAGTGATAACGCATCGAATCCGATATAACTTTAGGCTAACGAGGGGAAACCGTGGCAGAGTAACAACGGCGATGCTCAAACGGTCATTCTTAACTGGTACGAAGACCGTGATGGCGTAAGTTTTGTCTTTGTCGCAGCATCTCTCCATGTTCATTCATACTGATTCATCCTGCAGTTTCGACAGAAGTATACCAATAAGTGGGACGAGTCAATGTTCCAGGCCGACAGAGATGGCTCGAATTATAATAATGGGATCTGTATGTTTCCTGGCTACCTTGCTGAAGTAACAACGCTGACGCCGCACAGCTTTCCACATCGAATCTTCGAACCAAAACGACATTGTTTTAGGTGCAACTCCTCCTCCGGACGCCCACGGGCTAACCGCGCCGTCTCGCCCTCCATCCAGAACGAATAATAGGTCACCGTTAGCTAGGGTCGTAGATTGGACTGCGGTCAACGCATCTGGTAGGCGTATCTGCCACACCCGCCTCGCCGAGCTCAGCTAACTATGTTCCAGTGGGGCCTCCAACTGCACACGACCAGGAGGATGAGAACTTGCAGCGGGCGCTGCGAGAATCAGCACAAGAAGCCGGAATCAGTGTACCTGCCCAGGAGTCGGGCGTGATCAACGCCTCGGCCCCGGGCCCTTATTTCGGCCCTGCCAACCGTAGCGACTATGATAACAACAACTGGGCAATGGTCCCTGCAACAAAACCAGAGGTTACTGTTCGCGACTACGTTCCTGGTCCTTCGTCAAGGAAAAGAGTGGATGGCGCACCCGCCTTTCTGGTCCAGGGCGACACCTCTGTCAGTGAGCATCGTCTTGGTGGTCTTCTGACGATTCTTCACGAAATCCCGCTAGCTAGAAATTCCCTATTGGAAGCAGGCGGGGCTGCGGCATCGTATGGGCATAACAGCGAGTGGTGGCGGGGGCAGGAGATCCTTGCCCCGCATGTCCTTGCCCGGTTACAAGCTGGTGAGATTAGCTTGGCCGACAAGTCGGAGACGAGCCCCGTCTTTGAAGAGGAAATCCATCGATTAATGGCATTCTTGGATGCAACCGATCGGAGCTATGGGACTGTCAGCGTACTCTTCAACCTGATTCCGTTCCCAGGATTTGGACCCGAGAAACAGTTCTATGACCAGTTTGCACAGAGGAACCCAGTGGAAATTCAGCCATTGTACTCAAAGGTCATTTTGAGCCAAGTACAGGACGGAGAGGAGCAAAACGAAGAGGTCTCGTTTGGACTTCTCGAGGTGGAGCATGCGAAAAGCGAGTTTCAAAACATCAAGACATTATACGAATCGATAGACCACATAATATGGGGAGATCTTCTCGCTTGGGGAGACCCCGCTGAGGGCACGAAGATTGCCTACTTCAGAGAAGTGGGTGAAGTCTTCGTTATCAACATGACGGGGGACCTTCCTGATCCCAACAGCTTTGAGATCCCCGAGGTCTTTTACCCGGAGAGATGGCTTGAGAATCGCAAAGAAGATGCCTTGCGGATGATGAAGTCGTGGGAGCAAACGAAAAGGGCCATCAGCATCTTAGAAGCTGCCGAGCTGAGACTCTACGAAGTTCGGGACGAGGAAACTGGGATCATCCATGATAGGCGAGTCCTGGCAGAAAAAGCGACAGAGCAGTGGGAAGCATATCGGGAATATCTTGAAAGCCGCTCAAAATTTCGTACGGTGGCAGAATCAGGCTTCGACTCGCACAAGCATCCCGATTACCGTTCTGCTCCACCCCAAATGACGGAGGAGGAGCAGAAGCAATATGAGAGAATAGGCGAGGTGATCAATTATACCAAAGGCCTCCTAACCGATGTTTCACAAAAAGTACAAGGTAACGAGACTTGTACCCCTTGTTCCTCTTTCGTGTTATTTTCTAGTATGGATCTCTGACCATAAGATGTATAGCACTACATGCCGAACTAGAGAAGATCCGAGCCAAGCAACGCGTTCTTGGACGATTGCTTACTGACCCTAATGTACTTGGACGGGCCAAGCCAATGGCCTGTAATAAGTATCTGCTTCGAGGAATTGCAACATCTCCAGATGTTGTTTACGTCTGCAAAAGAGAACCAGAGCAATTAATAGACCTTGAGGATGGCCCTCGGTCACGCGACCAGTGGTGGCGGCTAGCTTATGTGGCACACGATGTTGACGAACCTGTCAAGGCCGAGGTGAGTGTACCTTTTTGCTGGCCACGTTGATCTGGATATGTCCCTTGCTAACCAAAGTGCCTTGGAAGAAACTTGACTTTGCGCAAGTGAGCGTCCGCATCTGGAAGGACAATGTGCCTCCTATGCTCGTCTATGCTACAGAGATGGCTGTCGACACCCCCATTGACCCCCTTCCTGAGGCACTCGAGCGGTTTGTGAAGGCTGAGAATAAGGTGTTTGCTCAAGAGCTAAGCCGTGAGGAACGGGAAGGTCGCGAGGAGATGAATTTGGGGTCGATCGATGCAATGGCCTCACCTTCTAAGAGAAAACATCGTTCAGACAGTCCCGACTCCATGATCAGCAACCGTGCATCATTAGGTAGCGATGATAACGACTTCTTCGATCGCCCCTTTGAGGACAGTGGCTTTGAGGATGTTGGTTTTGAGGACCACGACCCCAGTCCCGCAGTTGAGATGGCGCAAATGGTACAGGTGCCGCCAACCAAAGCCGGGTATTCCGTGCGATCTTCCGATATAGCAGGATTTGGAGAAGGCACAAAGGCACCACCGCCGCTACCAGATCGGCCTCCCATCCCCCCGAAACCTACTTCTTTGTCGTCGAAGCCTCATGTCCAAGAAGCTCCTTCGCCATCTGAGCCACCTCCATACAGCGAAACGGATACGTCCCCACTGCCCGAAATGCAAGAGCTGGCTCGTCCGCCCGCATTCATTTCATCCAATGGCAATTCGAACAAAGCTGGAACGACAGTCTCGGACATGTCGATTCCCGATCATCATGAGTAGTTGGCTACCCACTTTTATCAAGCTGGGGAATTATCCAACCATTCTGCACATGTTTTATATCAGGAGCAATGGTGATGAAATTTGCTAGAAATTACAGACTAGCGTCCTTGAAGAATTGACTTTCATGAGCATTGCGTTGATTTGAAAGCGGTTGGTCATAGCATAAGAGTTTATTCTAAATCAAGCGGACTATGGTCAAGATAGGTACTTACCTAGTAGTTGATAGTATCCTTGACTACGCCCCGCACAACTTGGTCTTTGTCTCTATCAATTGGTCAAGCTCTTTGAATGTGATAATGATTCTTCTCTCCATACTAGAAGATGAACAATTACCATTGGGTCAGGAGATAAAAGCCAAAACAGCCAATCACGGTTGTTCGGGCATGGAAGCTTCTAGAAGGTTCCATGCCCAGAATTGAGTTGACAAATCGTAGAAGGAATGGGAAAGAAGGGACTTGAATACACTAAGTGCTATCGTGTACATACAGGTACATTTTAGCCATTATTAGACGAATTATAGCGGCAATATGGAGCAGTCCAGTCTCTGGGAATCGCTACTGCTTTCCGTGGGATTTTCATTCTCCAAACCGACTATCGGCACCCGCTCTGGGATTCCTGCATGGTTGTACAATACCCCGCTAAGCAGCACTGGAGCCGTCGCCGTCAATGCGTCATGGCCACAGCACGGCAATATGCAGAATCTGAGCGGCGCTGAACCGTTTGTGATACATTGAGAGTTACAACATGTACGCGGCCATCCTTGTAGTGTCTGGGAATTGGCATAATCGTAGATCAGCCTCTGGAGAGAGAGGTCACGCATGGTGTCTCAACCACTAGCTCCTGCGAACTACTCCGATTTACTCTCCTAGAGATGCGACTATAATTGCGCGCGTGCTCACCCACCGAAACTTCCCCCCTGCCTCCATCGTACTGCCTTGTATCGCCAGTGGGCCGCTGCTTCTTTTTGAGCTACGTCACAACCGCCGAATCTTCCACAAGGTCCTGTCGGGCCCACTTTACAGGGACCCGACGAATGCTCTCAGGCCACTGGCGAGTGCCCATCAAGAACAAACACTCGAGGCTGGGCCTGGCTTCTCGAACCTGATCTTGTTCTCTATTTTTCTCTCTCTACCCATCTTCCTTCTCTGCGTATTTATTATCCTCTACTGTACCTTCCGCGCTCGAACGAACTGCACTTGCATGATTCGTTTTCGCATTTCTTTCCTTTCTCCCTACCACCCTCACTCTACCACCTCTCTACTCACCCCTCCACCCCCCACTTGAGCTCAGGTCTCAACCCAATTCCTCACAATGGTTAAAGAGACGAAGCTCTACGACGCCCTGGGCGTCAAGCCCGATGCTACCCAAGACGAAATTAAGAAGGGCTACAGGTATGTAAATTGGCTCCCATTTATTTGATTCGCTTTGGTCGGACGCATGATCCGATTCTGGCATTGGCTTATGGCAACATTTTGCTGACATGCAACTGTGTACAGAAAATCAGCTCTGAAGTTCCACCCCGACAAGAACAAGGACAACCCGAAGGCAGAGGAGAAGTTCAAGGAAGCCTCGCAAGCCTACGAAATCCTTTCCGACCCCGAGAAGCGACAAGTCTACGATCAGTATGGTCTTGAATTCCTCCTTCGAGGTGGCGCCGCAGCGCCCGAAGGTGGCAACCCCTTCGCCGGCGGTGGCGGTGTGCCTCCCGAGTTCCAAGGTTTCGACTTCAGTGGAATGCCCGGCGGAGGTGGCGCTCGATCATTCCACTTCAGCACCAACGGCGGTGGTCCCGGAGGTGCTGGGGGTTTCAACTTTGGCCAGGCCAATGACATCTTCGAGCAATTTATGCGTATGAATGGCGGCGGCGTCGACACTGGGATGGAGGATGCTTATTCCTTTCCTAGCGGTGCCGGAGGCCGTCACACTCCCCGCACAAAGTCAGGCGGCTTTGGCCGTGAACCTCGCAGGCATTCGTCAAACCCAGAGGTCTTGTCGGTCGAGCGACCGCTGCCGTTGACCCTCGAGGAGCTCTTCCACGGTACTAAGAAGCGAATGAAGGTTACATCCAAGACATACGATGCTTCAGGGAAACAAATTGTTAAAGACAAGATTCTTGATGTCCCTGTTAAGGCCGGAATCAAGAAGGGCTCGAAAATCATGTACAAGGGCGTAGGTGACCAAATCGAGGGAGGTCGCCAAGATATGCACTTTGTCATCCAAGAGGTACGTTAAGTTTCCAAATCAAGCGGATATGTAATTGAGAAGTTTTGCTAACTTTAACACAGAAACCACACCCACTGTACACCCGCGAGGATAACGATCTTGTCCATGTGATCACTCTCGATCTCAAGGAAGCCCTTACCGGGTGGAAGCGAACTGTCACAACCATCGATGGCAGGCAGATCAACTTGGACAAGGCCGGGCCCACCCAACCTGGCAGCGAGGAGCGTTTCCCACACCAAGGCATGCCCATCTCCAAGCACGAGGGACAACGCGGCGACTTTGTCATCCGAATCAAGGTCAACTTCCCATCAAGTCTAACGGCAGCCCAAAAGCAGAAGCTTCGCGAGATTCTATAATCGGATCGTGCGTCGAAACAGCCAAGGGAAAACACACGAGTCATACGAACTGAAGCGGTTGCAGAATAATTTGGGCTGCTAATCAGAATGTTCTTAAAAATAAGCGACGAAGCGAATTGCGTTGGAGACTGTTTGATCTTGATATCCTTTAATTTTTATTAAGCATTGATGAATGATACATTGGGAATACGGTGTTTGGGCGTTGGACAGTTTGAGCCCTATGTTATGTTATGTCAAGCCTGGGAACAGGTTCCTGGGACGAGAGCAAGAACTGGATGAGTATCACGAATGATGGGGTTGTTGGTGTGTTAATTTCGTCATATAGATGCCATCCAGGACTACATGGGGTAGAAAGAATAATACACAAGTAACGAAAATTTTGGTGTCTAGCCCCCTCGTGACTATCAGTGATGCAAACAAGAAAAAGTTCCATAGAGAGCGTAAGCGTTTCGTTTAATTATCAAGATATGTATACATTTATAGCAGTAAAAGCACCTTCCCTACCCTCAATGATGACCAGACAAGGTCAGGAAAAGCCCGGCTCCCAAAATCTGATCCGCGATAGATAAATTCAGTTTATTCTATGTTCTTTTCTTGGCCTCTACATATAAGTTAAATCATCTCCCAAGATCAAGCTACACACATGATCGTAATACGCAAAGAATCATGCAAGTGTTGTGAAAGGAGTGAGTGTCGATAAAGACTCAGCCGGGTTTCTGGAACAGATGCAAGGCTGGAATTGGGCCGGGCCGTGACCCCGTGGCCAGCAGGGGCAATATTGTAGGGATGGAGTATGTGATTAGTACTGATAGAAATTAAGCATTTGGCAAAGTCAATCTTGAGGTTGGTGAGAGACTTTCTTAAGTGAACGGACGTCCGGGCCATGTGATGGCTGAGGATGAGCACTTTCGCCTTACCCTAAGGCGAGTACATAAGATTGATGTCGGGGTGCATTCTAATATTTACATTCGCCCAATCCCGTTCGCGATTATTCCTTATTTCAACCAAACTACTAAACTTAACTAAGCCATAGGTTGGCTGTAGGTCCGCTGTCGTATCAACATACAGTCCCTTCCAGGCTTAGGGTGTGAAAAGGTCGATGTTATATGGGCGCATCAAGAATGCTGTCGCGAATTGTTCTCATACACGAGAGCAGCCAGATGGTTGCATCACAAGAGGAAATAAGTTCTATGACGAAGTATGGCATAGGTAATGCAACCCTACCCCTTTCGTTGTGGTGAGGAGATGCGATCTATAACCCCCGGGGTGAAGAGGGGGGGAGCATTCGGGTCCAACTGGGACTTGGGTACATGTGAGTACTCCGCGTTTGATACCATAGTGCATGATGACTTCTGCCACTTTCTGCCTCACCGACTCCGAGTATGATATGTCACAGACCTCGCGACGTTGTGTCAAATCATAATTGCACGCGGCCACACCAGATGACATGTCTTGCAGATGGTCTGGGAAGCTTTGGATGTATGTCTTAAAGTAACAATAGCGGCGGAGAAGCGGCCGATTTACCAAATTCCCGCACAACTCTCGTTAAGAGTCCAGATGGACCTTTCAAGAAGCACATGTCTGCGCGCAAGGAATAAAGAACGAAGAACACAGCCGATCGTGCGATCCACTGGGCCGATGACACCGAGAGCCTGTGTGACAGGGGCCAAAGGCCGCCTAGCCTCGGGTCGGCTCCCGCTAACAGCCCTGAAAGGGGCGGAGGCGGAGATAATTTAGGGGCAAGTCGGGCCTGTACCCCCCGAGAGGAGCATTTTTGGCTCAGCGGCCAACCTCGTGCTGAAGATTACATAGCAACGAAGCGACGGAAGAATCCAATTGTTGGTTTCCTCCATGCACGAAGGTACCTAAGTCAAGGTCGAGAGTTTCCCGGTGCTGCTTGCTCGCATTTTAGCCCACCCTTCTTACCTCTGCTGCAGCCAAATCCAAACATGGACATAGGGCGCATGCTGGATGGTGTGGCTCCCCAGCCATTCAGCATCCCTCACTAATTGAGGTCTCGAGGGAATAAGAACCTCAATGAGAGACCTGTCACTTGGGCCTCGTTGCGGGGGCAGGGAAAACTCGTGGTCGAGACAAGGCGACTGAGACTGAACCAGCCAGCCAGCATTGCTGCCATTGAGGGGTTTTTGCCTGCCTCTCTTGTCATACATGAGTGGAAAAGGGAGTAAAGGCCCGAAGATATTCTGCCTTCATGTGTTAAGGTAAGTTATAAGCAAGTACCAACCACCGTACGGAGCCGTACGGGCAGATAGGTGCTCTTACTACGTGACATCTCCTTCCCTCCCCTCCTTCTCGCTCCTCCCCTCGTTTAGCCCCTCCCCCTCCCCGAAGGACATTACGTCGTTTTGCAGGACAGTTCCCACTTCCCACCCACTTGGCCTCCAAGCTTTGCCAAGCTAAACAGCTATTATATGTAGCTTGACACCTCCATTGTACATATCCTCGACCGTCGCAAGTAACTCAAATTTCCCTAGCAACCTTTTGTTGGCTTTCTCGCTTCCTTTCTGCTCCGTGCCTCTCTCCTCCGCTCGATCCTGTGTCATTGACCTCTGATCTCCCTGCCAGCTCTATACCCAGCATACCTTTAGAAGCTTATCCAATAGAAATAATCAAGATGGCCAAGGTCAGTGCTCACTGGAGCCAAATCCGGCCCATGCAGTTCTAGCTCGTCCTCAGACGCTGATCACCTGCGACCCGTGTAGATCACCACTCTGCTCTTCGACTGCGACAACACCCTCGTCCTGTCCGAGGAGCTCGCCTTCGAGGCGTGCGCCGGCCTCATCAATACAATCTGCGAGGAGCGCGGCGTCGAGGCCCGCTTCAGCGGCGAGACGCTGATCAAGGAGTTCGTCGGCCAGAACTTCCGCGGCATGCTCACCACCCTGCAGAGCAAGTACAGCATCGAGATCGCGCCCGACGACATGGAGAAGTACGTCCTTATGGAGGAGGACGCCGTCATCGCCAAGCTCAAGGAGTCCCTGCGGCCCTGCCCCGGGGTGGACGAGCAGCTGGAGCGGCTCGAGGCCTCGGGCAAGTACCTCCTCTCCGTGGTCTCGTCTTCGGCCCTGCGCCGCGTCCGGGCGTCCATCGAGAAGGTCGGGCAGGACAGGTTCTTCAAGGGCGACGTCGTCTTCTCGGCCGCCACCAGCCTGGAGAAGCCGACCAGCAAGCCCGACCCGGCCATCTACCTCCACGCACTGAAGAAGCTGGGCAGGTCGGCCGGGGAGACGGTCGCCATCGAGGACAGCAAGAGCGGCACCCTAAGCGGCACCCGCGCGGGCATCAAGGTTGTCGGGTACGTCGGCCCCTACGCCGACGACAAGAAGGCCGAGATGGAGCAGGTGCTGAAGGATGCCGGTGCGGTCATCGTCATGAAGGACTGGTCCGAGTTCCCGTCTGTTCTGGAGAAGATCGAGGCCGGTAGCATTTAGAGAAATTGTCCCTCATGTTAGATTTGGGAGTTAGACCTGTCGAGAACTTAACGTTGATGACCTGATGTAGTAATGCAAAGAACATGTTTTTGGCTACCGAGTCACGCCCGTGCACAGCCCGCTCATTTACGCCAGTCCATGAGAAAGCTATTAACGCTTTGGAGTGTCGTCCTGCTAGGGTTAGCAGCAGGGAAGGCGGTCATGATGCGGCCCAGCCGTGTCTTGACCAGCGTCTTGGTGAAAGACACATCCTGATCCGGGATGCGGAACTGGTTGTCATCTGTGAATAGGTAGCAGTTGATAGCGAGAGCAGTGCCCACTGAGATGTCTTTCCCAGATTCACAGCCGATAACGAGCTGGACCGGCGACGTACCAGGCGCACTGAAACACTTGGCAGCGAAATCGCAGATGTCGGGCAGGGCGAGGCGCAAGTTCTTGCTGGCGTTCTTGTTCCTACCCACGCCGACCTCCATCCTCCGCGGAGACTTGACCCAAGTGTCCCTCGGGGTCGTCTCCGAGGTGAGGGCGATGTGCCACTCGCCCACCACCGAAGTCAACGGCAGCGGGGAGACGGAGATTTGCGGGAGGAGGCGATTCCTCCGGTCACTCCCACCGCCCCGGGCCTCCTCGTCCGCCTTGTGCTGCGCTACCAGCCTGGCGATGAGGTCCGGCAGCTCGGCCTCGGGGGCGTCGAGGAGCTCGGATGCGTTGTGCCAGAACACGGGCGGGGTGAGCCCATGTGCCCAGTTCTCCGTGTCGTCGGCGGCGCCCTGGATGTAACCCGCCTCGTCCACCTCGCTGCCGACCACCCTCCGGCTGGCGGTGCAGCAGACGACGGGTCTGAAGTCGTCGAAGATCTGGCCGTCCAGGTCCTCGAGGGAGGAGTCCTGGGTGATCCAGAGCGGGCGGAGGGGCTTCGTGAGGCTGGTGGGGAGGGCGAGCTTGAGGTCGTGGAGGGAGGAGAGGAACTGGGGGATGAGGGCGGAGATTTGAGCGTGGGTTGTGGCTGGGAGTGAAGGGGGGAGGAAGAGCTGGTGGGAGGAGGGGTTGGAGGGGAGGAGGGCGAGGTTGAGGACGTTGCACCAGACGGGGATGGTGGTGGAGAGGGCATCCGGCATTCCTGGGTCGCTTGTCAGTTTGCTATAGATGCCTCTTCGAAGTGTGTTTTGTACTTACGTTTGCCTCGGCGGGTAGAGTCGACGATGATGATTCTATGTATGTCAGTCAACCGATCACTTTTTCATTTACGCATCACGGATGGTATTATTTGGAACCATAGTAAGCGTAGGAGGGATCATAGATATGTAAATACCCATCGTTATTCTCGATCATGTCAATGAGATGGAGATTCAGCCTCCTGGTGCTGAACTTCCACGCCCGCTCATGACCGTCCGTACTCTTGAAGTACGCACTCCCGTCCTTGCGCTCCGGCGGGACGTACCAGCTGCCGCATCGCTCGTTGGCTACAAGAGGCCTGCTCTTGAATGCTTCAGTCACACGGGCTACGAATTCGGCATCGGCGCGGATCGAGGTGAGGCGGTTGTGGATAGAGAGCGTGCTGCGCTTGAGAGACGCCAGAAGGTGGGAGATGGACGGCTGCTCCGAGGTGGGAAATATGAGCTCGGAGTAGTGCGGGTTGGACATTTTCAGAGCTGGATTGCCTATTCTGGTGGAGTTAGTTGTACAGAGGGTTTGGCGATATCGAACATGTCCTTGACTACTGCTGGGTTTTTCTGTCGGTGTAGCGCAATTTGCGAATGCAGAGTTTCAGGTACATGTGTGATCCGTGATAGATAATTCGTAGGATCCACATCAAGATCAGCACCCAAAGTATTTTCACGGGATCGAAAGGTAGAAACTCGAAGCTACTGAGATGGATTGCTTATTTTCATCTTATTTTTTACTTGATTTATATTTTTATCCAAGGTAGGTTGATTACAGTATCCTTTTGCCTGCACAACCCGTTTTCAATCCTATTCTTTCAGATTCCTCAATTAAAATATATAGAAAGATTTATACCAGCGTCCAGATATCGCCCTCAATCTTAATGCCCACTTCTCGCTTCTCGTCAATGCTTCGTCGTCCGGCCTCCAGAATGGCCGTCGTGGCCAGTGTGTTCTTGAGGGTAGGCAGACCCTTGGCATCGAGGTCGTCGAGCGTCGCGGTCTTGTCGTTGATGGCCCGGCAGCCGTCAATGAACTTCTCGATCGAAATATAGCCGTAGCCGGTCTGGCCGTTGAAGTTGCCGTCCTCGTCGGGGGCGTACCGCATGTAGAAGGGGTTCAGCCACTGCAGCTGGCCGACCGAGTCGTCGGCGATGTCGTAGCCGCGCTTGGCCTGGTCGACGCGGACCTCGCCGTTGGCGGCGAGGTAGTGGAAGTACTGGTTGGTGTGCACGCCGGCGCGCTGGGGGGCGGTCCAGGAGGCCGTGTAGACGCCGATGGCGCGCTTGCCGGGCGCATCCTTGCGCTCCCAGGTGACGAGGAGGGAGATGGTGTCCTCGGTCTCGTCGACGCAGCCGAGGTCGGTGGCGACGCCCTTGGAGGACGAGGCGGAGACCTTGACGGGGACGTAGCCGCGGTCCTGGACCATGGAGTCGCAGATGTCGATATGGTGGCTGTTGAGGTAGTAGGAGATGTCGGACTCCCTGCCGGCCCAGGACTTGAAGGTCTCGAGCTGGTACTTGGGCTGGGACATGTAGCTGTAGAAGTAGTTGAAGTCGCCGAGGGTGCGGGCCTTGAAGCGGGCATCTGAGTAGGCGGGGTCGAAGCGCTTGTGGTGCTCGATGAAGATGTAGACGTTCTTCTCGCGGGCCTTGGCGATGAGGTCCTGGTGGTGGGCAAGCTCCTTGACGGCAGGCTTTGTGAGAAGAACGTGGATGCCGCGCTCAATGGCGTAGAGAGCAATTGGGTAGTGGCTCGGGTCTGGGGTGAAGACGGTGATGGCGTCTCCGGGCTTGAGCAGGTCGATTGCGGCCTTGTAGGCATCAGGGTCCTTGGTGTCATTGGCGGGATAGGACTCAAATGAGGTATCGAGGCCGTTGTATGCCTGTGTGATGTTCTTGTGAAGGTGTTCGCCTGAGAGACAAGCTTGTTAGCACACCAGTTCCTCTCTATTCCAGTTCTTGCTCTCTGCGCCGGGGTCCGGTTCTCATCCTCTCCAATTCAGACTTACGGATAGCGGGAAACTTGGTGCCATTGACACCGACCATGCTCAGGTTGCTGACCTTGCCGCGTCGGCGCAGGTCAAACAGGGTGAGGCCAACAACGCCGACCTTCTTGTCTGAACCTGAGGCGCCAGTACCCACGAATCCCGTGGTGTACTCGCCGGTGCCGACCATGAGCACGCTTGGGGGAGCCATCTTGTCGCTGCAGGTAGCTTGAATTGACTGAAAGATGTAGAATGAGCAACGAGAGCTCTGTGAGATGCGGTTTACGGGAGAGCGAAAATTGCAATTGGGATGGCGGCCGGCCTGTTTAAAACCAAGCTGGTGAATGCGCGGCTGCTGCTCGTAGCTCGGCTTTGGGGAGCTCCAGAATCGGGAAGCTCTGGGCCTGGGCGGAGAAACTAGAGACTTCTCCGACACGACAATTGGAGGGAAAACGTGCTGTGTAGGACCTCCGGCAACAGCGAGGGGTCTGGGATAATTCCAGTTTACGTGAACGACTGTTTCTTGGCCTTGCTCTACTAGCTGAAACAGGGGGATGGCTGTTCTTATGGCGTCTTTGTGCCTGGATGATCTGATTCCCAACCACGGCCCAGGAGCAGATGGTGTTGTAGAATGTGGGCAGAGCCGGCGGTCATATCCTTCTTGGACCGACCCCGCCAATTCCGTGCACAGAAACTCCCCTCCGAGTCGATGTTAGCAGCAGTAGTGCTGCACTAGCATTGCAACGGCCTCGATGCAGGAATTTGTCCCACGGCGCCGGGAGAAAGGCGCTCCGAAAGGCTTCCGAGTGTAATAGCGCATTGGTACAGTATAATTTAGTGCCCGGCGAGCGCTGAATCGCCGTGCATAGCACTCCCAGCGCACTGGCACCGGCCTCTACCCCTCCCCCACGTCATTGAGGCCAGGACCCCGCATCGGGGTTCGCAGCACTGATTCCGCTCCGGCAAGGGTCAGTGCAAGTTCTCGCCAATCACGCCCAAAAGAAATGCATCCTCAGTCTTCACCAGCGAACAGTTTCTACGTTTCAAGTTCAAGGGATCGTGGCAGATGAGGCCATCCCTTCACCAATGCAGCCGTGGTGCCCCATACCGTTACTCCGATTCTCGGCCGGGATTCGCCCTGTGCCCCTCCATTCCGCGGATTATTATCTGTCCGTCAAACTTACCTAATTTGCCGTCGCTCTGATTGGTGGAAAAACACCCGCCCAAAATCATCCGTTGGTTCTTGAATTCGGGTGTTTTTCCTTGGTCCCCGTTGAGCTTCAACGCCCAACGTCGAATTCGAGCACGCCCCTGTCCTCTCCAGCAAATAAGCGCTCCCCTCGGCTGGTCTGCTGCCATTCAATGTGTTGATTTATTCCTTCTATGAGAGCTTCGGCCGTTGTAAGAAAATCTTTTCCTCCCTTGCCGTAACTAATGGTCCCCTGTACCACTCCGAGGAGCTCTCTGGCTTGATGCTCACGACATCACACGGCCCAAGACAGGACCCCGGGCGTAACTATCCGCTCCACCCCTCGGTAGAGAATATGGACTTTCAGTCATGCCCAGCAATGCATAACGCTGGCAGCTATATGCTCCGGAATAATGCCAGGACGATGGGAAGCACCCCTCGATCGTAGATACGGATCCAGGATCGGTCCTCCTGCTGCGATCCGACTTACAAACAGGGCCATTGGCAATATCTGGTAATTCCCAACCCAAACAACCTACCTTTTTGATACGCTGTACATTCCGCTGCTTTCAAGGCCCCGGCCGACGATCTCGACGCCAAGCCTCCTGAATTAGACAACTGGAAAGCTAGCGAGAACGTTCTTGCAGACAGTAGTCTTTGCTTTCGGGAGCCTGGGCCAGCAATGGCTGACCCCCATATCGAATTCATCCCACGCTGATTACTGCTTTGGGCTAGCTTTCTTCTTCGTTTTTTCTTCAAGGCATGGTACCATGTGGTTTCTGACCAGGTGCATGCAGCATACGGGGGTTCGACGTTGCCCCTTCGTACTCTGAGCAACCTGAGGTGATGACAAAAATGCAATATCACAACCTTCTTCTATTCCATTCGTTTGGTTTTTTCTGGCTTCTGAAAGCGGCTTCCTGCAGAGTTCCGGTCTGCGTTATGCCCCTCCCTTCCGTCAGACTAATGAGAGACGCAGTCTTCTGTGGCCGTTGCCTCCAATTCCCCCAAATCCCCCGAGGTGGGCATGCCTTCAACAAGCGTGGATCCATTGAATCCACACCCTCTGCATCCACACTCTTTAGCGTGCACCTCACAATCCCGACGGAAGCCAAGCGTCCCTATGTTAGAAGCGTGGTGGAGGATCTCGGTACAATGCTTGCACCCAGCCGGCCACTGGGCGTCTTCCAGGTCGGCCTAAGTTGCGACTTGGTACAGATGACTAGTCACTTGCGGTGATCATATAAAAGCTGGGGTTCGTTCCGCGAGAGCAAAACTGCCCCTGTTCTCTTCATCCCTTTGATTTTTTTTCTTCAGGCCTGTTTCCTCACCTGTGTACCCCGTGATCCAGATACCCTTACCGTACCACCATTCTCATACCCTCTTGTATACGACCAATTGCCCTTTCATTCTCAACGGCCATGCCTTCAGTAAATGCCAACCAGAGTGGCAACGGCAATGCCGGCGCCAGCCGCCCCCTCCCATGTGGCATTTATGCACCTACCATGACCTTCTTCGATCCGGAGACTGAGGAGGTTGATATTCCTGCAGTTAAGAAACATGCCGAACGCCTAGTACGCAGTGGCCTCGTTGGTATCGTGACCCTCGGCTCCAATGGCGAGGCTGTCCACTGCACCCGTGAAGAGAAACTTGCCATTACCAAGGCCACACGTGAGGCACTCGACGCCGCCGGGTTTGAATCGACGCCCATCATCTTCGGAGGCACTGAGGGTAGTGTCAAGGGCACCATCGAGCTGAGCAAGCTAGCTGCCGAGAACGGAGCCGACTACAACATGCTTCTCCCCCCTTCCTACTACAAAGCCCAAACAGACACCGAGGCCGTAGTAAACTACTTCCTGGCCGTTGCCGACGGGAGCCCTCTGCCCATCATCATCTACAACTACCCCGGCGCCGTTTCCGGCACTGATTTGGACAGTGACACCCTGATTCAGCTCGCTCAGCACCCTAACATCGTGGGCACCAAGTTCACATGTGGAAACACTGGAAAGCTCACCCGCGTAGCGCAAGCAACAGACGCCAAGACCCCCTTCCAGCAGGGATCGGGGTACATGGCATTCGGCGGCATGTGCGACTTCACGGTCCAGACCCTCGTAAGCGGCGGTAGTGGAATCATCGCCGGAGGTGCCAACGTCATGCCCAAACTCTGCACCAAGATTTGGGATCTCTACGCCGAGGGTAAGAAGGAAGAGGCCGCCGCCCTGCAAAAGGTATTGAGCAAGGGCGACTGGCCCTTGACCAAGGCCGCGATTGCCGGCACAAAGCAGGCCATTCAGACATACTACGG